GTGCCAATTTGCTGGGCTCAGGCAATCCTTCCACCTCACATCTTATATATATTTTAAAGCTGTATCACTAGGTGCATACGCATCTATAATGATTATACCATCCTGATAAATTGATAATTGTTTCATGATGAAATGTTATCACCAGCAATATTCCTTGTCATATTCTTTGTCTTGAAATCTTTTTCGTCTGATTATCATGGCCACTCCAACTTGCTTAAGATTAGAGTTTGCATGGTTTATCTTTTTCCATCCTATTAATTTCAATGTATGTACAACTTAATTAATTAATTAATTAATGTATTTTAGATTGGAAAATATAGTTTATTTAGAAAGTAAATCAGAGAGAGAGGAGATTCACCTCCCCAAAGTAGGGGAGGGAGCCCAAACTTAGGAAAACATGGTCCAGCCACATGGTTGGGCCAGGGCTTAACAAAAGCATGGCCACACCTTTATTTTTAAAGGAGATTTCTTTTAGGGACCATATAATGGGATCTTGTTTGTTATCCACACTGACCATTTCTGCCCTTTTACTCAAGTGTTCAGTCTAATATTTAGTATGATTATTAATATGTCTGGATTTAGGAAAACCATTTTACCATGTTTTCTGTTTGTTGCACCTATTTTTGTTCTTCATTTCTTGTCTTTTTGAGGGATAATAAAATCTGTTTAGTAGGATTTTATTTGATTCTTCTATTAAGTGTTTTTTAGCTATACCCTTTTTTTTCTGAGTCAGGATCTCAGGCTGAAGCACAGTAGTATGATCACAGCTCTCTGCACCCTCAAAACCTGGCTAATTAAAAAAAATTGTGTGTGTGTATAGATATGGGGTCTCTTTAAGCTTGTCTGAAGTTCCTGGGTTCAAGCAGTCCTCCCACCTTGGTCTCCCAAAGTGCTAGCATTACAAGCATGAACCATCATTCCAGTCACTATTGCCTTTTTTTTTTTTTTTTTAGTGATTACTTTGGAGGTTACAATGTGGGTTGTTAATTTATTACAATATACATAGAGTTAATATGTTGCAACTTCAAGTACAAATACAAGAACCTTACATGTATAATTCAATTTATTCCTACCTCTATGCTATACTGTCATATAGATCACATCTACATATGTTACAAATCCCACATCTACATATGTTATAAATAGAATGTTATAATAAAGTTTTTGTCAAACACCGTATTTCGAATAAATTTAGTGAATAAAAGAAAAAATACAATTTTTTTGAGTTGGAGTCTCACTCTGTCACCCAGGCTGGAGTGCAGTGGCACACTCATGGCTACCTCAGCATCGGTTTGCTGGTCTCCGGTGATCCTTCCACCTCAGCCTTTCAAGTAGCCGGAACTACAGGTGTGTGCTACCGCACTTGGCTAATTTTTGATTTATTGTAGAGACAAGGTCTTACCAAGCTGCCCGGGCTGGTCTCAAACCTGCAGGCTCAGGCAGTCACCTCGCCTTGGCCTCTCAAAGTGCTGGGATTACAGGCTGAGCCACCGAGCCTGATCCAAAAATACAATATTTTATAGTTACCTGCATAGTTATCATTTTGAGTGATCTTTACTCCTTCTAATAGATTCAAGTTTATCATCTGGTATTATTTCCTTTCATCCTGAAGAACTTGCTTTAGTATTTCTTAGAGTTTAGGCAGCAACATTTTAAGGTTGTTTATCTGAAAATATCTTTGTTTCATCTTCATTTTTAAAGAATAATTTTGCTGGATTTAGAATTCTGGGTTGCCAGGCCACCCCTCCACCTCCCCATCCCCACCCATTAAAGATGTCCATTGTCTTCTGGTCACCATTATTACTGATGAGAAGTTAGTCATCATCTGTGTTGTTGTTTTCCTGAATATATATGTAGTTTTTATCTGACTGCTTTCAATATTTTCTCATTATTTTATTTCTTTTAGCTGTGTTACCATGACACACCTAAACTGGATGTGTGTGTGTGTGTGTGTGTGTGTGTGTGTGTGTGTGTGTGTGTGTGTGTTTATCCCTCTTGAGATTTATCAAGCTTCTTGGATCTCTAAGTTGATGTCTTTCACCAAATTTAAGAGGTGTTTGACCATTCTTCAATATGTTTCCCTTTCATTCTCTCCTTTTCTTCTGGAACTCCCAGTTACATACATGTTTGACTGCTTGTTCTATTCATGTTTCTTTATTTCTTTTCTCCTGGTTCTTCAGGTTGGTAAATTCTTTTTATCTATCTTCAAGTTCACTGACTCTTCTGCCATCTCTAATCATCTGTTAAACATATCATTGAAGTTTTCATTTCAGTTATTGTATTTTTAAGCTCCAAAATTCTATTTTTTAAATAGTTTCTCTTTCTTGGTTGAGATTCCCATATGTATACCACTTTCTTTAAGCTCTCAAACATTTTTAGTAGCTGTTTTAGTTCTTGTCTGCTGTCCATATCATCTAGATTATCTTGGGTTTGGTTGTAATTGACTCCTTTTCTTTCTTTCTTTTTTAATATAGGTTATATCTTCCTGTTTCTTTTCATAGCCCATTATTTTTTTGGTTCCTGAACATCATATGTTGTAGAATCTCTGGATTCTGCTGAGTTCCCCCTAAGACAGCTGACTTGGCTAGATTCAAACTCTCTCCTACAGCAAGCAGCAGCTGAAATCTCCACTTCAGTTTTCAGCTCTAAGCTGGTGGGGGATTTTTTCCTCCAAGACCCCTAGTATCTCCCCATCGCCTGTGTGGCGTAGGCTAAATGTTTGGGTGGATTTTGTAGGCAGACATGATGGCCCACTTCTTCTGTGACTCTCTCTTCCAGGACTCCCCCCTTAGCATTCAGAACCCTGTCCTGTGACACTTCAGAACAATGAGGCTGATGCCTTCTGCCACGCCAACATTTGTAACTTGGGGCATGCCCCCAACAAAATGCCACAGACTCACCAGTCTGATCTGTGGACGGTACATGGGCAATAGCGTCTTCAGTGAGGAGAACACATCCGTGTGAAAACTCCTGTGTTATGGAATAATGTGCATTCTAGAAGGTGCCTTCTGGTCATGATGGACAGCATGGTCTCACCATTTATCTCCCAGGCTCTCCTTATTTAAATAGGACTTTGACTTGGGAGCAAAATTATTTCTGCCTGTGGAATGAGGAACGGGTCTGAGTCAAATCAGCGTTCTCACTTTATCCTTGGTGGAGTCTTTTTACAAAGAGTTAGTCAAACGTTTCACTCCTAGTACGGAGACTGCTTGACTTCAGATGGAACAGCGCGGTGTATGGTGTGAGAATGACTGATTCAAACACTTAGAGAAAACTAAATAGGAGAGCTCAATAAAGGCAACTTCCGACAGAAAAATTCCAAAGGTCAGTGTCAAGGAGAGAAAGTTGGAGACCCAGGAAATACACTTTTGGCAATTCACAATCTTTTGAAAGAAGAAAGGTAGGAGATGGCAGTTGAATGAAGCTTTAGTGAATGCTCCAGCCAGCCACCACGTGGCTCTGGGGACATCTAGTGGTGAGAGCTGCAAGCCAGACTCTCACAGGACAGAAAAGTGCCCCAAGCACTGGCTAAGGCATTTGGGACGGGAAGCGGGGAGCCATCGGGGAACAGCCCCTGACAATAATGATGGAATGAAACCAACACATAACCCTTTCTGCTCTCCTTAGGCAGATAAGTTTAGTCTGTGATCAATTTTGCTTTACATTAAAAAAAGGAGACTTCAAAAATTTTATTTGAGAAGTGGGGACTCGGGGAGACACCTCTTATCAACAAGGGTGCCTGAATGAAGCACATTTGTATTCCTAACCCTTAACTGTACCCCACAATATCATAATGAAAAATATTGATTAAAAAATAAATAAATAAAAATAAAGATTAAATTTAAAAAAGAAGTGGGAACTCTTGGGGTGCTAGAGAAACATAAAAATCCTAGTAAATGTCTATTGCATTCTATACATCGTGGCCACTGTGATGTGCACCTGCAATTCAGTCTTCGCTGCACTCCACAGGACAGGAACCATGGAGAAGCCACGTTTGGGAGATGATGTGCTTATGAGTTGGTGTCAGGACTGGTGCGCCTGCTTCAGTTTACATTGTTAATTGTGCCTCAAATGCTTAAGCGTAGCTGATTGTTGATTTAAAAGCAATGACAATTTGACCGTTAGCATTTTCAGAGAATAAATTTGTATTATTTGCCTCTTTGTTCTGATACGGTGTCGTTTTATAGAAAGTTTTAAAAGCACCTATTTGATACATATGTGCATCCAACAGCCAAGAAATATACTTTGGAGCTTTCCTGTGGGCCAAGATCTCTATGAACAGAAGGCAGTTTTTGCGTATGGCCAAAATTCCTGAGGACTTTATCCAGCCCACGATAAAATGCACCATGACTTTGTTCCCTCTGCAGATCACCTTCGTTGTCTCCAGGCTAGCAGTTCTCAACTGCTGGGTGATTTTGTCCCCCAGAGGACATTGGGCAATAGCTGAGGACATTGTTGTCGTCAGGACTCATGGGGAGGTGCGTCTAGCATGCAGTGGGTGGAGGCCAGGGAGGGACAGCCGCCCCCAACAAAGGAGTGTCCAGCCCCAAATGTCAGCGGTGCCACGGTGGGGAAACCTGGCCTTAGGATTTCTCCAGTGGTGGCTTGGGGTTTGTAGCTCCCCACGTGGCAGTCACCCACCAAGAGTTTTTGATTTGAAGGATACATGAGTAAACAATTGAGCCCTTCGAGACAGTTCACCCTGATGAGACTTGGAGAGAGAAGCCGTTGTTCGGCCTTCTGTTCAGGATTCTTGCAGCTGTGCGGAGGCAGAGCTCTGTATGGGTTTTATATTTGGAAAAGCGCTCTCTGCCGCCTCTCTTCGTCTGTGGAACAGTCATACAACCCATGCTCCCCGTTACTTACCCAGTGCCACCAGGGTCTCTGCATTGGGACTCTGAAGCATGTAGGTGGTTTCTGCTTGCCTGCCTTGTAAGTTGCCTCTTGGGGCATTATGCGTGCAACCCTTGCCCACCCGCTCTTTCTCCACCTTTCTTCAGACCTGAGCATGCAGAATTCCGAGGGTGGATCGGATTCGCCGGCATCCGTGGCTCTGCGTCCGTCGGCGGCGGCCCAGCCTGTGCCAGTGTCCCCACAGGTAACAGATGCCCGCCTGCTGCCCAGGCACTCCGGGCAACAGGGCAGCCAGTGTGGACGCGTTCCCTGTGAGTCTGAAGACTGCTTGGAGCCACAGAGAGAGGAATCTGTATGTTTCTGAACGGGATTCTCAGCCCCAAGACCGCTGCTGTTGAGTCACACCTGGGCCTGGTATGGTGGCTCACACCTGTCATCCCACACTTTGGGAGGCTGAGGCAAGAGGATTGCTTGAGCTCAGGAGTTCAAGACCAGCCTGGGCATCATAATGAGACCCCCGTCTCTACAAAATGTAAAAATGTTAGCCAGGCGTGGTGGCGTGTGCCTGTAGTCCCAGCAACTCAGGAGGCTAAGGTGGAAGGATCATTTGAACCCAGGAGGTTGAGGCTGCAGTGAGCCATGATCATGCCACTGCACTCCAGCCTGGGGGACAGAGTGAGACCCCCCCAACTCAAAAAGAAAAAGAAAAGAAAAAGAAATATAGACACAGCTGTATTTTAGACAGTGAGAGGGACACTCTAAAAATTCCCACCAAGGAAATAATGATATGAATTGAAAAAGAAACCACTCCCCTAAATCTGAATTGGTCTCTTCTGATCTTTCAAAGGAAGTTTTTTTGCACCTTGGACATGGCCCTTTTACACAGAAATACTTCATGAATGAGGCCAAACAGTGAGTTAGAATTCTGAGGATTTGGTTCACAATGGAAGCTAGCGTTAGAATGAACACATTCTTAACCAGGCTCGGTGGCTCAGCCTGTAATCCTGCGCCTTGGGAGGCTGAGGTGAGTGGATTGCCTGAGCCCGCGGATTCGAGACCCGCCGGGGCAACTTGGCGAGACCTCATCTCTATAATAAATCAAAAAAATTAGCCGGACGTGGTAGCGCGCGCCTGTAATTCCAGCTACTTGGAAGGTGGAGGTGGAAGGATCACCAGAGAGACTCCAACTCAAAAAAATTAATTAATTAAAAAGCATGAATACATTCTTTACAGTGAAAGAGAGAGAATGCTCACAGTAAGTCACTCTCTGCTTCTGGATTTCTACCACGGATTGAAGTAAGCCATAAAGTAGACAGGAACTCAAAAGGAGTGACATTGGCCACATGAAACAGACTGGAATCTGGCACAGTGGGCAGAGGTCCACCGTGGCCAAGTGACCACCCTGGATTTGGAATCTAAAAACTTGGAGCGTGGCAAAAAGAAATGATTAAGGTGGAAAAAGACAATTCAGTCAAAAAGGCAGACAGCGAAGCAGTGTGTTCCATTTGGAATTCAATGTAGAATGGACAGCGTTAGCTTTTATTTCTGGCAAATACAGCAGCGAGAGGGACACTGGCTTGGAAGCCCACTGAGGGACTGAGAGGATGCGACCAGATGCTGTTGCCCTGCCAACAAGTGTGGCCTGCTGATTTGTTTCCCTGTCCTTTTGAAGCTGTCTAAGAGGTGTTGTTCCTGCCAAGCCCGTCTCTCGGGCTCCCTCTGGCCTGGGTGGACTCTGCCCGTCTCTGAGGTAGTCACAGTGTCCGGCCATGCGTCCACCCCAAATTTCATCAATGGTGGCCCTCTCTGAGGCCCTGCAGGCCTCCTGTCCCTCCTGCAGGTGCATCCAGCTCCCCCTTCCCTGGCCACTCTTGGCCAGGGCTGAGCCTCCTCGCTGCCCCACTCCAGGCGACATGGGGTGTCCTGTGTCTGTCCAGGCCCCGCCAGCCCTTTCCTTGACCACTGTGAGCGCTCTGGCCCGCAGGCACTGTCTCCCTGCGTAGTGAGCTCTGGGTCAGGCCTGACCATTTCCTGGCCAGGAGAAGGAATTCTTGCCCGCAGGATTCCCGTGGTATGCCCTGTGCTGTGTAGTACAGAGTCCACCAGCCACGCAGGGCTTCTGAGCACGTGAAAAGTGGCCCATGCGCCTGAGGACCCAAACTTGACAATGTATTTCAGTTTCACTGACTTTAACGTAAAGGGCCACACAGCTAGTAGTGACCGTGTTGGACATCTCAGCATTAGAGTGTAAAAATGGGAACCCTTAATATTCTCACAATTTATTTAGTTGAGGTAAATTTACATAGCACAAACTTATTTTCAAGTGTACAATTGAATGGCATGTAGTACATTCACAGTCGTGCAACCATCACCACGATCTCGTTCCAGAACATTCCATCACCCCAAAAGGAAGCCCTGTCCCCACTAGTCGGCACTCCCATCTCCTCCCCCAGCCCCTGGCAACCACGAATCCGCTTCCTGTCTCTGTGGATCGGCCTTTTCTGAGCATCTCATATAAATGGAGTCACACACCATGTGTCCTTGTGTCTGGGTCTCTCTCGCTGAGTGTGTCGTCCTCATGGTTCATACACGTCGTGGCCTGTGTCAGAGCCTCCTTCCTTTTCATGGCTGAATATCATTCTGCTGTGTGGATGGACCTGTGGTGTTTACACGTTGATCTTGTTGATGTCTGTAGCATCTGCATTCTCCTTGTCTTTGGTAGTGAGCTCATGGAGGGTGGGGCCTGGTGAATTCTCCTGGTCCTTAGCGCCCAGCTTGACTGGAACCCAAATGCTTTTGGGCTGGTGTCCTTACTGGCACCTTCTTCGCCCTGTAGCTGCACTCCGGGGACGCTAGGGGACAGCATGTCCTCACCCATAACCCTTCAGTGGGTATATAAGGCAGAGTCACTGCAACCTGTGACATTCAAGGGCCATGCCAGAAAGTCACAGCACAGCAGTGGCTAACTTCTAAAGCTCCAGCTCTGAATCAACACGCAAGACGCTCCTCTTCCTCTCTGGACTCTGGAGTGTACAGTGACTTTTCAGCCTTCCATAGCTCTGTGTGGCTAATCAGTCCTCCAAGCCTAGCAGCCAAGCCACACTGTGCAGACCCGGCTCAGGCGACCAGAGGGCAGTGGGGTTGAGAGTGAGGACCCGGATGCAGGATGCCTGAAACCTGGCTCCAGAATCAAGTGTGCCATGGCCTCAGACGTACCTTGACCGCTCTGGGCTTCACTCTGCCTGGTATAAAATAGGGACAAGACTAGTGTGTCCTGCAGAACCATGGGGACCCGCAAAGCGCTGTCCCGGGGACAGGGTGTAGACGGCTGTCCAGAGGTTCCCCCTCCTCCCCTGCAATCCTCTCCGTGTGAGGGACGGCCAGTGTCACCTTGCTGCAGGCTACAGACCCCATGGAGGCAACGCTGCTTGGGGGCGGGTGGAGGCGCATGTGCTGTGTGTGTATGTATGTGTGCGTGTGTGTGGTGCACAGGGAAGAGTGTGTGTGCACTCTTGTGTATGTGTGTGTCATTCGTGTGCCTGCACATATCTGCCACGTGGCCTCCCCTCCTCCCCTCCAATCAATCCTGCCGAGACACCGGAGCCAACAAACAGCCTCTTGGGTACTGTGTCTGCTACCAGCCCTGACCTCTGCCGAGTCTAACTGTCCTTTCTCTCCTTTCCCTTTTAGAGGGTGCTGGTCCAGGCAGCCGGCTCCACTCCCAAAGGGGCCCAGATGCAGCCTATCTCCCTTCCTAGAGTCCAGCAGGTGCCACAGCAGGTAACAATAGCACCACGCACCATCCACACAGGGCACAGTTAGCGATCCACAGCGGTCACTGAAGGGGACATCCTTTTCTGTTTCTGCTATTTCTTTTCACTGGATCACCTCCATTTCTTAGCCAGAAGGTTCTTCTGGAAGCTGTGGAATTTTTTATTTTAATTCTTTTACTGCAGATAGGTTTGCAACAAACCAAGAAAGCTGGCGATCTGCTCAGCAAGCATTTGGAGAGCAAGTGAGCACCCAGTGCCTTCTGGGTAGAGCTGAGGTAGAAATGCAGATAGATCAAGAAGAGTTCCAGACCAGAGGCACACAGAACCTTCTGGGAGGCAAACCCTTCCTCAGGCATGTGCTGTGCCCTCAGATGAATGTCAACAGAGGAAATGCCTCTTGTGAGTTAAGTTATCTAAGGATCAAGTCTGAAAGCATGGCTGACCAGCCAAATAGCCACATAGGTCAACAGCTCAGGGACAGTCAGCAGATCTAGGAGAGTGGCCAGCAAACCGTTTCTAGAAAAAGCCAAATAGTACATGCTTTTGACTTTGTGGGTCAGGTGGTCTCTGGAACAACCACTCAACCCTGCCATGATAGCACAAAAGTGGCCATAGACAATATATAAGCAAGAGTCATGACTGTGTGCCAATAAAACTTTACTTATAAAAATAGACGGGGGCCAGATTTGGCCCTTGGGCTAGAGTTTGCTGACTCTGCTCTGTAGAATCCTGAACTAAAGCTAGTTTTGGCTCCTCCCAAAAGAAACCTTGAGACCCTAGAAAATGTGCCTCTGTCCTCAATGGGGTCCTGCATAGTAGTGTGTTTACAGGTCTTTGTCCAGTGACTGTGTCCCTGAGAACTGGGAAGGTTTTCGGGGTCACAGGAAGGAAGCAGAGTCTCCAGGCAAGCCAGCAGGGATCCAGGGACTCAGGCCAGTGACTCTGTCTTAGCTCCTGTCTCTGTCAAGTTCCTCCCCAGGGACACCACTGAGGGAAGGTAGACAGAGACCAATGTGTGATTCTAGAAGCTTCTCCCACTCTTTGGCAGCTGGGCCTGTCCCAGTTCCTTCTTTGGGCAACTCAGACTGGCCTGCTGGGTGACTTCTGCATTTCACTCGGTCCTCTGGAGTCGGACATTTGTCTCCCGCCCCTGGGGACACCACCCAGCATGCCAACCCCTAGGACGTGTTATCCCAGGGGGCTGTGCATTGGGCAAAGGTATACCATGCTAAGTTGTCCTAGGAGGTGCTGGTCAGCCCCATCCTATAGCTTCAGGGACAGGCTTAGAGAAGGGTCATTACCAAGCCCAGCAAGCCCACCACCATGGCCCTCCACCTTCTCAGCCCAAGATGTGGCTGCCATGGGCATTGCTGAGATGTCTTCACAGTGAGAGTCTGAAGTGCTACGTGCAAGGTGCTGGGCTTCCACCAACAGAGTCCCTCAGGGCCATCTGCCCAGCACTGAATGACGTTTCTGCCGCGGGAAGGGTGGGGAGGTGTTCACTTGGGTTCTTCCATTGTCCTGTCTCTCCAGGCATGTCACACTCCTTCCATCTCTGGCCTTCGCTGCATTGGACGGGGCTGCAGTACCCCCTGGTCTGCCCCCACATATACAGAGGGGTGTCTCCAACCTCACCTCTCTGGGGCATCACAGCAGAACGAGTCAGGACACGTAAAACACAGCAAAGTTGTGACCACCAGCAGCTCTGTGAACTGCTTGGCCCACTGGGAACATGTCGTCTGTACATGACTGTCTCTCCCGGGGGCTTTCTAGAAGCGCTGACTGCGGGGGGAGCACTGTAATGTGGCACTACGTGTTCACAAAAGGCGACAGAAGATATTTTCAGCTTGAATGCTCTGCATGTAATGAACAAGAGCATGACTGGCCATGACAAAAGTATACGGTGTCGTTTCAGGTACAGCCCGTGCAGCACGTGTATCCGGCCCCGGTGCAGTACGTGGAGGGCGGAGACGCCGTCTACACCAATGGAGCCATGTACGTGTGTTTTCTTACAGGCCACATCCAGAACCTTCTCTTCCGACTCCACCTTTGTCCATCTGGGGACATGTTTGAACAAGTTCCTCTCCCTTATCCTTTTGGGAATGTATTCCCTAGATACTGTTAAAATGGCACTAGGATATCACAGCCCTGAGAGATTCCAGAAATCACAGACCTTTGTCCTTTTTACTTCTAGAAAAGACAGTCAAAAAAAAGAAACATCCAGCTTCTAAGTCTGAAGATTCCATCTTTGAGATCCAGAAATGCATCTGCACCTTTGTCAAACTAGCTTTTGATGGTCTTGATAAAACTTGATTTTTCATTTTTTGAAGACTTGTAGGGTTTTCTCTAACTATGCTATGCTTGGGGCAGAGACACAAGTCCCTTTGCTTGTTTGTTTTTATTTGGCTTTGATGACCCCCTTCGCAAGTGTAGAGTTTGTAATATCCTAATGCACAACACTGAAGATTATGGGTCACACACAGACACGAATGAATGCAAGTTAAAACAGTGAAATCCGAGTAAGGTCTGTGGGTTGTCCCGAGTTCACATTCCTAGTTTTGATATTATATGACAATTACAAAGAATGCCACCCCGGGGGAACAGTGCAGGGATGCCCATCTCTGACTGGCTGGGTCTTCTCTGCAACCGGAAGAGCCTATCCCCCGGGGCACATCACTAAGCCTTACCAGTAAGGAAAAACTGCCACTAGCCACCTTCTACAACAGCCAGCATCATTCTAGCGTAATTTAGAAATGTCAGTCTCAGCAGACAAGGTCGTTCCTTTAATCCATACACTAAAGATTAGACACATGTCCGCTGTCACTTAGAAATTATTTTTATTTTGTTTGTTTAGATACAAGGTCTCACTCTGTGGCCCAGGCTGGTCTTGGACTCCTGGGCTCAAGTCATCCTCCCATTTTGGCTTCCTAAAGTGCTGGGATTATAGGCATGTACCACTACGCCTGGCCCAGAAATTCTTCTTATGCAATTTCTTCTTCTTGTTTTTTGTTTTTTGGGGTTTTTTTTAAGTCTTTTGTTTTGAGATAATCAAAGACTCACAGGAAATTAGAACCCAAAGTTCTGTGTACAGTTTCCCAACTTGCCCTAGTGGTGATATCCTGTGTGAACGTAGGACCGTATCAAAACCTGGAAACTAGCTGGGCTCGGTGGCTCAGCCTGTAATCCCGCGTTTTGGGAGGCTGAAGTGAGTGGATTGCCTGAGCCCACGGGTCCGAGACCCACCTGGGCAACTTGGCGAGACCTCATCTCTACAATAAACCAAAAAATTAAGCCGGGCTCGGTGGCTCAGCCTGTAATCCCGCGCCTTTGGGAGGCTGAG